GACCCCTGCCCGCGGACCGACAGACAAAGGCCTCCAGGCCGCCGGCTCCCCGGGCCCCTGGGGTCCACGCCGCGCGGACCCGCCGCTGCCCAAATTGCGCATCGGGAAGCGCCCGGCAGCCGGGGGCCCCCCATAGAGGGTGACGACGGTAGGATCGCTGCTGATCCATCCTGCGCGCTTCTTTGTGCCCGACTCCGAGCTAGAATGTTTACATGGATCCGGCGATGCAGTGATCCTAACAGCCCTCGGAGGAAGCGGACGCAGCATTGTCCGGTTGCGGGCGGAGAGCACAGATTTCGGTGTGGGACCCCGGATGAATCTGGCCGTGGCACACTTGCCGTATGACCTTGGGGGGGTAGCGACTTCCCTTTCTTTTGAGCCTCATTCATCGAGTTTACACGGTGATAATCAGACCTACCTTTTACTGTGGTTATTAAATGAGATGATGTGTAAGGAGCATTTATTTACACAGGGCCCGGCCCTTGGGAGGCGCGCGATCAATGTTAGCAGCCCTTGTCGTCACTATTATTGTTGTTGCAACTGTCCCCATTTTATAGATGGGGAGTGGAGACGGAGCATTCCTACTGCTACGCCAAGGTCACGCCACGAGCTGCGTGCCGGGTGGAGATTTGAACTAGGGTCACCGCCAGGGCCCCTGGTGCCACTAACTGCTCTCCCTGTTTCTCAAGGCTGTCTTTGATTCGTGTGTCTGCCTTTGAGTCTCCGTTAAGCTGAGAGGGTGTTTCTCTCCTTGTAGGTGGCCTTCCCTTATGAAACACTACAGCCCCACCGACTACGTCAATTGGTTGGAGGAGTATAAAGTTCGGCAAAAAGCTGGGTTAGAAGCCCGGAAGATTGTAGCCTCATTCTCAAAGAGGTTCTTTTCAGAGCACGTAAGGATCCGTTGATGTAGCTCCCCCGCTTTTGCCTGCTAGTGGTGTGTGTCTGGGTCTGTAGGCATTAGCTCATCCAGCTTTCTGATACTCCTTTTTCAGTTCTCTCACAATCCCTGACTCACTTAGATGGCCGCAAGAGTCATTGTGTCCTTTTCCTCCCATCCAACAACACGAAGCCATTTGTCCCTGCCAGCTTTACTTTTCTAAAGCCAGAGAGAGGATGGGGGTGGAGAGGGAGGGAGGGACCCGCAGCACAATGTAGAGGGAATCCAGATCAGCATTATTTTTCCTGGAGGAGGCTAAACATATTTTTCACAGCCCCCGCTGGAGGTAGGGGATCATCAGTGATCGAACACTACAGATTTCGTTTGCCCCGTTGTTTTCCCAGAAGGGTTGACAAAATTAATACGGTTTTTCTTCTCTGGCTTTGCAAGTTCTAACTAACCACTAGTGAATAGCATTGTTTCTTAAGGTAACAGAGGATTGGAAGCTATCTGTAAATCAGAAGTATTACTACCTCAGTTAAATTATCTTGCATTCATTATCCCTGAAAAGTTGTTTTTTTTTTTTAATGTTGCAGAAATGCATGGGTTTTTGTAGTTGTTTTGTTTTCCCACAAAGCGTCTCAGAAGTTTCTATATTAGGTCATGATTCTTAACTTTTTGTAATTCCGGGAAGTAGTTCACACTGATATTTTAAATTTTTCTTTTTTTTTTTTAAGATACTATTTATTTATTTGACAGAGAGATAGAGCCAGAGAGCACAAGCGAGTGAATGGCAGAGGGAGAGGGAGAAGCAGGCTCCCTACTGAGCAGGGAGCCCGATGCGATGCGGGGCTCAATTCCGGGACCCTGAAATCATGACCTGAGCCGAAGGCAGATGCTTAACCAGCTGAGCCACCTAGGCACCCCTTAAATTTACTTCTGATTGAGGGCCTAGAAATAGAGCCAGTCTGATTGGGTTTGGGGTTTTTTGTTTGTTTTAAGTAAACTGTATGCCCAGTGTGGAGCCTGAACTTAGGACCCTGTGAGATCAAGAGTCGCATGCTCTGCTGAGTGAGCCCGCCAGGTGCCTCTGATTTATTTTACTATCCTGGTTTACTGAAGATTAATTCCTCTTTTCTTACTTTCTTCCTTTCTTTTTTAAGATTTTTTATTTTTTTTTAGATTTTATTTATTTGACAGAGACAGCGAGAGAGGGAACACAAACAAGGAGTGAGAGAGGGAGAAGCAGGCTTCCTTGGAGCAGGGTGCCTGATGAGGGGCTTGATCCCCGGACCCCAGGATCATAACCTGAGCCGAAGGCAGACGCTTAACGACTGAGCCACCCAGGCGCCCCAAGATTTTATTTTTAAGTAATTTCTACACTCAATGTGGGGCTTGAACTTACAACCATAAGATCAAGAGTTGTATGCTCTCCTGACTGGGCTAGCGAGGAGGCACCCTGATTAATTCCTATTTTCTAATTTTAATTAATATTACTAAATGGAGTTCATACATGTGAATTGTTTTCAAGACTTTTCAAGTTTTGAAAGGGAAAATTTGAACTTTGGACAAATTTGAACTTACTCCCCTGTGGGGAATAAAACTAGATATACCCCATGTAATTCATTTCTTCCAGTCTGTTTGTCTTTCTCTTTCTTTCTTTCTCTCTCTCTTTCTTTCTTTTTTTCTTTCAGATTTTATTTATTTATTTGAGAGAGAAAGAGAGAGCAGGAGCCAGAGTGAGAGCAAGCAGGCGGTTGGCGGGAGCAGGGATGACACAAGCTAATTCCGGACTAAGCGCAGAGCCGGACGTGGGTCTTGATCTCAGGACCCTGAGATCATGACCTGAGCCGAAATCAAGAGTGGGACGCTTAACTGACTGAGGAGCCCCTAGTGTAATTCATTTCTATAAATAAATTTTTGTTGATACTAAGATGGACAGAATTTATGTTCTATTCTGGATAAGCCATGCCCTGGACAAAAGCATTCATATCAAATTTTAAAACTGGTACAAATGTGATTGCACACACATATATTTGGGTGCTAGATGTATTTGATGCACTTGGTCATGGGCTACTAATTTGCATCCTGTTTCTAGTCCAGCTGGTTTTGTGTGCATTTTTAACAGCCTGTGTGTTTGTCTAATAATGATGAATTACTGTATTTTTTCCTTAGCTCTCTCTTTCCCTGTACCACTGCCTAATTAGAAGTATGTCAAGGACTTTGAATATAGCAGGAATAGACTTAAGATTGATCTGTGGGCGGATGATTACTTTGGCTCAGGACCCTTATATTTGTGTGTTCTCTGCATGCACACAGGTTGACATGAAATTTCCTAACTACTTTCAAAACAAAATGGGAGAAGTAATAGAATTTTAAAGCTTATTGGTACCACCACCTCAATTTACAGAGGAGAAAATAGGCCCAGTGGGTTAAGTGAGTTGCCCAAAGTACGAGGCTTCTCTCTGGTCCTCTGCTCCTACTTGAGTACAGCATAAATTGCATGAAATCACTGTTGTAAATTACGATATTTTGTATTTCTAATCCTTGTTTCAGAGCTATTTTTCTTCACATTAGAACTCTGAGTAATTTCAGAAATTCCAGACTATGAAAATATAATTAATTTACAACTGGGGCTGTAAGATCTGAACAAATTATTGTTACTCCACATGTTACTTTCCACCCATGGTGGGTGGTGCAGGATAGTGTAGGGCAGCTGTTACCACTTCCATGCACATGAGCATCATTGTTTGCAACTCAGATTTGTGTGTGAGTGACAGATTATTGCCTGTTATTGAGGCCTCTTTGTATATGTCTTCTTCATAGGTCCCTTGTAACGGTTTTAGTGACATTGAGAATCTTGAGGGACCAGAGATATTTTTTGAGGATGAATTGGTGTGTATCCTAAATATGGAAGGAAGGTAAGTCATACGTTTTAGCAGGGATTGTTTTTTGTTCATTCTAATAATGCCCAGAATTAACTGCTATAATTTGTATGGGGCTCAGCCCTGGGATATGTTTTCCAAATATTTCATGTCTTGCCATCATTATATTTTTGAAAAATTCTGTGTAAGTAATGTAAATACCCTGAGACAATTGATATTTAAAGAAACCTTGCAAAAATCCTTTTGGAAGGAAAAGAGAATTAGTATTTATTCCTGGTATGGGTCAAACACTGTGCTCGGCACTCGTATCTGTTACGTAATTTAGTAATATAAACTACCCTTCCTTTATGACCTTTCCACCTACCATCACCAAATTTGTCTGTTATGGATTGAATTTTTTTCTTAATTTCTTAGGCATGTTTTAATTTAATGGAGGATTTTCTTATGATTTCTGAATTTTGTTAAGAAATGATCTTACTTTGGCCTTGAACATTATTGGTATCTGATTGAACCTTTCCTTTATCTCTCCTGATCAAGAAGAATCCATCGTCTCTTGTTTGTTGTTTAAAAATTTTTATGCCTCATATGTTCTGCTGTGAAGGTTAATTTCCAGTTTACCTAAAAGATGACTTGGCTTCCAGTTTAACATACCTATGAAAAAGATTTTCTGCCCTAAAAGTTCTGGAAACTATTAGTAATAGAAGATAAGAAGGCTAAGCTTAGCATCTTCCTTAGAGCTTATTGTGCGATAGTTCACGAACAAGGCATAGGATATTTTTCTTGTTTTTAAAGAGGTTTAGGAGAGAGAACTATCTATCAGGAACAACTGTAGGGGAGAGGTAAGATGTGCCACTGTTCTAGGCCTTGGATGAGTTCAGATGCAGAGGTCATTTTTCTGTTTCTATTTTGGTTTATCTATAAATGAATTGAAGTATGATCTAATAGTCAGTATTGTGCAGCCTTAAAAATAAAAGCTGACCTGTCTTTTTTACATATGTGTGAATATACTTTCAAATACTAAACATAATGTCATATATACTAAGTTTATTGGTTGTTTTAGTTTTGATTTGATGTTGAGTGCAGACTTTTTTTCTTGCTTATGCTCTCCCCACTCCCTCCATTTGCATTGGCTTTCCCTGCCCCACCCCTGTAATTAATGAAGACAGCTTAGCCTATGTTCTAACGTGCTGATACACATCGATATATATGGGGATGGAGGGAGATCATTTATTTCACAGAATTGTGATCATAAAATAGGTGCTTTTCTGTATCTTTTTTTTTCATTTAGCATTACCTTGTGGAAATCTAATCAACTGATAAAAAGTCAAATTCATTTTATTAATGGCTGTATACTGTTTTACAGTACATACTGTAATTTATTTAACTATCCCACTGTTGATGAGCAACCACTTTCTTCTCCATCTTATGTTATTGTGGAGGGTGATGTTTTTTGTGGTCTCATTTCTAAGTAATAGGTTCCTGGGAATGAGCGTCTGAGGTCAGACTATAGAATGTTATCGAAAAACATAAAAGATAGCATGTCCTTGACTGGGGAGACTTACTATTACAAAAATGTCATTCTTCTAAAATTAACACATAACCCTAGTGCCATTCCAATTAGGATCCAAAAAGAGTTTTGGGACAAGAGTTTTTTTGCTTTAATTGGATAATACTGTCATAAAATATGTCAAGAAGAATAAATTGACTAGATGAGCCAGAAAAAAAAAACAATTTTTAAATGATCACATTGTAAAACTTGCATCACTAGGTAATAGGACATAGATGAAGCTAGCTGTAACTGAAACAGTGTTTAAATAGGAGTTGAGAGCTACATCAGTGACAAAAAATAATTCAGAAATGTGTCCCAGCATAAAAGATAATTTAATATATTTAAAGTCAGAGGGAAAAAGGTGGCCTATTTAATGGTTGTTATTGGAAATAGCTGAATGTTCATCTGGAAGAAAGTAAAACTGACATGATGTACAAAAATTAAGTTCCAAAAGATTAAATAACCTAAATTTTAAAATTATCACAATGAAAATCCATTAATAAAATAGCAGACTTTGTGTCTAATCTAGGGAGACCTACTTAACTAAGATTAATGAGACCAAAGCAATACAAGAATATAGACAGAGTTTTGCAATAAAAAATAAACTTCCTTTTGACCAAAGAAACTATAAAGAACATCAATAGAATTCTTAAAATTCCTAAGAAGAAATTGAAAAAGATGCAAAAGAGGAGGACATTCACAGAAGAGCAGATCCAAAGGGCTGAGAATCCTGTAGATCTTTAAATTCACTCTGCAAAGAAATGTTACATAACAACGAAATACTGATTTTTTTTTACTTAGATTGGCAAACATGACTAAATATGCCCAGCCAGTTAAAAAAAAGCATAGTTATAATCTTTTTAAAAATGAGTGTCACAGATATGTCACCTCTTGGCCTGACACACCTATTGAGCCTAAGACAGGGTTATTTTTAAATGAGAGGGAATACTTATATTTGTAAATATTTTGGGATGCTGGTGTTCTTGAAGGACCCTGTTTGTATTCATTCCTGGCAAATGCTTATTGTGCAAATATGGAAAGCATAGGAAGGAAGGATAGTTTTCCATAAATGCTGAAGCACCAGTCTCTGGATATTTGAAAACAGATGCATTTATGGTGTTCTGTGTGATCTTTAAAAAGAGTACATCTACAATAAAGATTTGAAACAAGATATTAAAAATGGCATATGCTATACCTGAGAAAATGACCCAGAGTGACCATCACTGAGACATATTTCAGTAAACCTCCTGGATTTTAAAGACAGAAAAGTCTTTTGGGCATCCAACCAAAAAAGATGAAGTCACTTATAAGGTTAAGAGAATCAGAATATCGTCAGACTTTTCAACAATTGCTCTATGTCAGAGGGAAAAAGAGTAATATATTTAAGATGCTCAAGGATCAGAAATGTCAGCCAAGGATTTCTATATCCAGCCAAACTGACTTCCAAGTATAAAGGCTGCAGACAAACTTACCAACTTGCGAGGACTCCGGGACTTTTGAGCCCTTCGTGAGAAATGTGCTAGAAAATGAGCTTCAAACAACCAAAACAACCAGAGAGACACTGACACAGGACTAATGGTGAGCATTAAATATGTATTTACTTGTAGAATTAAATCCAAGTGACAGTTAATAGGGTAAAAAGTATTGTATGTAATGGCCATAAGCCTTTTCAACATAGATCTAGTACAGTTGTTTAAAGAAATGAGCAGAGAATAGGGGAGAATGGAAACAAATATTTAGCTGTTTTCAGTACTCATCAAGGTGATGAAAATATTGGTCTTGTTATTCTGAGGCTGGGCATTTGTGTGTTTCTAAGATGTGGAATAAAGCAAACGAGTACCTAGGTGATATTCTAATTCATCTCTGGTATTCTAGAGAAGTGGGGTATTCTCAGAAGAAGAAAAGTTAGAGATACAAAATAGAAGATGGTAAAAACTGTTTAGTTCTGAATTTGATTTACAAGTGTCAGTATGAATTCCTGAGTTATATTTAAAAATATGTAGGGGGTGTGTGTGGATATACACATAGATACACTAGGCTTACTATTTCTGTCCATTGAAAAGGTCTAGAAACAATAACCAATCTAGTAGAAATGATGATCCCTAGTACCCAGATGGTGGTGTTGATATACCCTTTCCCATCAAAAGAAGCCATGATTGTGGGGAAAGGGCTGATTCTAGGTCTGATACAGGAATTGTAAAAAGATAAGTCCTGGAGCATCTTGGAAGTCTGGAACCAGATATCAGGAGAAGTACCAATATTTCATGTTGTGAGTGTTCAGGAGCCAACATGGAGAGGCTTCCATTGGCCAGAGATGTGATTTGAGCAGCAGTGTGGATAATCACTGGGATGGGTTGAAACACACCAACCGTGTGTAGCTCTGCTCATCATAGTACTCAGGAACAACTAATTGTTCACCTTTGGAGGATAAGAATTCACATTATTATTTTGAAAAACAAAAGGAAAGACACAAGCATTTGTCCTGCCTTTCCTATATATTGTGCCATTGGGGGAATCAAATAGTGGATGAGGGGAAATTATTCCTTATAGAAATGCTCCAGCTAATAAATGAAGAAAGGATGGTGGAATTAGAATATTACCACTTTGCAACCTCTAATGAATTAATGGACCTGGGCATTGAGGAGCAGTGGCTGCTAACATCACCGAAAGGGACAGCCAAGGCATGATTGCCTCCTGATGGAAGGACTTCCCTACCACCTGTGAAGTAGTCTTGCCAAATAAATGGAATCTGAATCTGATCAAGGGTCTACATCCAATTTACAGGAAATTCAGAAGACAGAAGAACATGTGAAACCATACCTTGTGGATGCAATCAACAAATTCCAGACTGTGGGAAACTGCAGGTCACACAACCAGGTTTCTTCAACAAATAAAGTGCAAGGGAAAGGAAAGATGGAGGGGGAGCCTGTGTGTTAAGAGACTTGAATGACCTCAAAATGGGCTAGACTAGAGTGTTCGGGGATGTACATTTGGTGAGGCAGTGATGAGCATGGAGGTGTGGGTTGTGATGGCTGTAGATGGGAGAGAGAGGGCCCTGGAGGGCTCTGGGGTGTCTGTGAAGTAGTTTCTCAGCCTGATTGGTAGGTACGAGGATGTTTGTCTTATAGTCGTGCATTAAGCTTAATTCATGAAGCTGCTTATTTGTTTCATGCAGTTTTCTAGATTGACATACTTTACAGCTCAAAGGTTAAAAGACTGGTAGAATCTAGCTCTGCCGATTTTCATTTACTAACTGAAGAGCGAGAGTCCTTTTTTTTTTTTCTTTTTAAGATTTCATTTATTTTTTTGAGAACGAGCCAGAGAGAAAGCACAAGCAGGGTGGGGGAGGCAGAGACGGAGAGGGAGAAGCAGGCTCCCCACTGAGCAGGGAGCCCAATGTGGGTCTCAGTCCCAGGACTTGGAGATCATGACCCGAGCTGAAGGCAGTCGCTTCACAGACTGAGCCACCCAGGCACCCCAGAGAGTTCTTTATTTCTGAAACCACACAGATAAACTAATCAGTGTCCCTCCTATTTCCCATGATCCCTGTGTACATTTGGAATATTTGGTGAAGCATTTCATTCACTTAGCAGGTATTTATTGAGCATCTACTGTGTGCCAGACACTACCCAGGCACTGAGAATACACTAGTTAACAACACAAAAATGCTTACATTCTAATGGGGGAGATAGTTACTAACCAAGTAAGATGATTTATTACATTAGAAGATGTGAATTGCTGTAAACAAATACTAATCAGGGAGGGGTATTTGGGGGTGAGGGGAGAAGGCCATACTCAAGATGACATGTGAATGAAAACCCTAAAGGAGGCGAGGGTGCAGATTGCAGATCTCCAGGAAAGGAATGTTCCAGTCAAGGAGCTGAGAGTGCTGAGGCCCGAGGTGAGCACCACCAGGCGTGATGAAGGAACAGCAGGGAAGCCAGTGTGACCAGAGGCCTGGTGGAGGCAGGGAAGAGCAGGAATTGAGGTCAGAGGGGTAATGGGGGGAGAGTTTAAAGGACCTCTTAGGTCATCGTTAGGCCTTGGGCTTTTACTTTGAGCAAGGTGGAAAACCCGTGGAGAATTTGGGGCAGAGGGTTTTTGTGTTGTGACTTAGCTAACTGAAGCACTCAGGCTGCTGTGTGGAGGGGAGACTGTAGAGGGGCAGGTTTGAAGCTGGGGGCTCAGTTCGGGGACTGGTACAATACAGACGAAAGATGACGGGGACTTAGATGAGTGAGTGGGAAGTGTTCCCATGTCTGGTAGACTTTGAGATAGAACGAATAGCACAGGTGGATGGGTTGAATGTGGCCTCAGAGCAAGCAAGCAAGGAGACCAGGAGAACTCCAAGGTTTTCGGCCTAATTGCAATGGCAGAGTTGCCTTTACCTGAGAGGGGGATAACTGGGAGGGGAAGCATGGGTAAGGAGTTCGCCAGATAACCAGGTGGGGTTGTGGAGGAGCAGTGGGATATACAGGCCTGGAGTTTAGAGGAGAAATGTGTATTGGAAAATAAACTGAGGGATGTCAGTGGAGATAATATTTGAAACCGTGAGATGGGATGAGATCACCATGGAGTGAGCGTAGGAAGAGAAAGCATTAGCCCAAGGCCTGAATTTCCTAAGGCAGGTCCCCAGGGGCCAGCGGATTATAGACACCTCACCCCTGGTTCCTGAGCTTCAGCCAGTTGCCCCGGCTTTTCAGCTTTCTCTTGGATTTCCTTTTAGTAAATCTGAAGCCAAACAGGTCAGTGTTTTGTTGGATTTCAGCACGAATGATCTAGTGTTAGTTACAAAGGCAAAGTCGTAAATTGTGCTATCTGTTCCATGATAACAAGTGCTATGTGATCACGAACCAGTTATATTTTTCTTATTAAGTAGGCTTTTTACATCCTGTGATTAGTGTGAAGTAAAAAATAAGGTAATTGAAGGCTTTAGTATCTTGATTCTCATTGACTTGTCTGTTTGTTTTCCAGAAAAGCTTTGACCTGGAAATACTATGCTAAAAAAATTCTCTACTACCTACGCCAACAGAAAATTTTAAATAACTTGAAGGCATTTCTTCAGCAGCCTGATGACTATGAATCGTATCTTGAAGGTGAGGCTCTGACAGTGATCTTCCGATAGGCAGCTAAGCTGTCGCTCAGAACAGTAGTGGAGACCGTCCCTGAGGGTGGCACAGCGGAAAAGTGAACTGTGCTGCATGGGCTTGTGGAGGTTAGACAGGCAAAACTGCTAAACTTGAAGCTAAGATTTTGCTGGAGTGTTTGGCTGTCAGCTGAAGAGACAGTGTTTTCTCAAGATGCACCGTCAGTTCAAAGCATGAGGCTGGTAATTTAGCTAATGAGGTTAAATTCCCTTTTTCTAAGCTTTGAAGCATCATGTCCAAATCAGAAATAAATTTGTCCAGTTTTGCCTCCGTGTGACCTCAAGCAAATCCCTTCACCTCCCTGGTTGGAGTTTAATGAGGACGAAGTATTCTTGTGCATCAGTGAGTCTGCTTGTCCATAATGAGAAGTGAGGAGAAAGAAGTCGAGTGGACAGACACGATGAAGGGAATAACTTTGTTCCTGCTAAGTCAGACAAGAACAAAATGTGACTTCATTTTTTTAAACTAATTTAAATTCCTAGCATATTGCATAAGCACTGCCATAAATTATGGTTATGAAGTGCAGATACGCCTGTTCATTCACTTTCATTCCCTGCTCCCTGTGACTTACCAGTTCATCCATTTTCTTTCTTTCCAGTGTTGGCATGGTTGTGTCCCCATTCTATTCGCGTGGTTGTGCCGCTTGTCACCATCTCTCCCGGCAGCCGCTTTCTAGGTGGCACTTGCTTTCCTGAGCCTCAAGGCTGCTGACACCTAGCACCAGTCCAGCCTGAAACTTGGCCTTTTCACCACTCCCGTGTGGCTGGCTGATTTCCTTTTTTTTTTTTTTTTAAATGAACTGCCTGCTTTTCAGTGCCTGCCATAATCTGGACCTCCCCGAAGCCCAGACCTTTGCCTGTTACTCTCAAAACACCCCCCTTTGCTCCAGCCAGGTCATTGTCTTCCCCCCTGGCTTCGTATCTTCGTTAGTGTTATCCGTTTTTCTTAGAATTCCCTCTTAAATCCTGCACGCCCGCGGAAATTCAGTTCAAATTTAACTTCCGACTCCTGCAGCACTTGCAGATTTTACCCGCCTCAGAAGCCATACGTGCAGTAGCGTTGACTAGTAAACCACGATGTAGTGTCTGTCCAGGTGTGTGCATTTTGTTCTCCAACTGATCGTTAAGTTTCTTGTGTCTCTTGACCTTACATTATTACAATCACTGCGTACTCCACAGTGCCTAGTGCAGATTCTTGTGTAAAAGTCTCATCATCTAGAAGGAAGTGAAAAATCTCTTTGCATTGATTAAACTCAAACATCCTCACCACCCTGGAGTCTTCTGTGCATCCTGGAGTGGAGAGTCCCCCATCTTCTGTTTATTCCACATAATTTGACAGGCTTTGTTTTCTGTAGCTTACTTTTGAAGACGATGACTTTCTTTTTCATCTTCCAAATATAAAGTAACTCCTCCAAATCAGTGCTATAGGCACTGGGTAGCCATTGAAGGTTTTTGAGCAAGTAGTTGAGCAGGTGGAAGTCAGCTCCAGGGTTTTGATCCTTGGTGACTAACAAGAATAATCTGATAGCATTAATAGAGTCTAGGAATCATAGCATTAGGTTGGAATGGACTTCAGCCAACAGGTGAGGAAAACCATCCCAAGAAAGCCCAGGAACCAATCCCTAGCTAAGGGGCAAAACTGGGACTAGGGTCCGAGTCTCTTGATGCCTGCTTGCAGCTCCTTGCAATGTGAGTAGGGGGTCAAGAACCTGACCTCTTGAATTTAAAATGACTCCAAAAACAAGTGATAACTGCAGCTTCTCAAGTGAAAATGTCTTATCACCAAATGATCAAGTTAGCCCTTTGGCATCTGGTTAGAAAATGGCCTCAGGCAGTAAAGAGCCGAGCTGGATTCCAGAGACAGTGTCTCCAGTGTACTTTGTACAAGTCTTTAGCTGCAGGTTCCCTGAGTGTTACTGTTTCTCTAATTTGAAAGTACAGTTCTCTCTGAAGTTCATTTACTGTTTCACCTTTGAGGGGTACAGTTTGTAGAAATCCCTCATTGAGGGCTTTCAACTTTTTTTTAAAGTAAAGGGATATCTTATGCCATTATGTTTTCAGAGTTACTGGAAAGAGCTCCTTTATAGCATTTATTTATCTTTGTAATAGAATATGGAAATATGTTGTGTATCATGCCCTTTTTTGAGTCCATAACCTTTGAGAGAGGATTTGGTTTATTTTTTAAAAATAAAGTGTTTAAACTCCTTTGTTTTGAGAATGTGGCTCCTTCTCCATGTATTAGCAGCAAGGTCTGTCATCCACGAACAAAGCTTATCTGCTAGGATGGTGCAAAGAACTATGGCCCCAGGTGTCTGAGCTAAATGAGCAACTGAGAGGAAAAGGGTAAAAATAGGACCTTACTCAGTAATTCCTGGTCGTTTGCAGGTGCTGTATATATTGACCAGTACTGCAATCCTCTCTCTGACATCAGCCTCAAAGATATCCAGGCCCAGATTGACAGCATCGTGGAGCTTGTTTGCAAAACCCTCCGGGGCATCAACAGTCGACACCCCAGCTTGGCCTTCAAGGCAGGTGTGGAATTGCTTTGGATCCAACTGTATTTGCAAAAGAAAACCTTGCAGAGGATTTGTGGATTTGAGAAACTCTGCAGGATGTTTCTATTACGCCACCAGAAAAGCAGTTAATGACACCACCGTGTTCACCTGGAAATGTGAAAGACTGTTAAGTTCATATTCGTTTCTCCACCCTGGCCTGGCGGCACCTGCTGGGTCCCTTTGGGAGACTGGTACGGGTTTGGGACACTGGTCACAACGTGGGGAGTGCTTGTGTTCTCAGAGTAGATCTCTGTGTTTCAGGTGAATCCTCCATGATAATGGAGATAGAACTCCAGAGCCAGGTGCTGGATGCCATGAACTATGTCCTTTACGACCAACTCAAGTTTAAGGGGAACCGGATGGATTACTATAATGCCCTCAACTTGTACATGCACCAGGTAAATGCGGGTGAATTAAAACAGAATAATATGTATTTTTTAAGCTAATTTCTGACAAATTGTATCATTTTTGAGGGCAAATATATTGTCTTTTCATCTCTCAATGCCCGGTGAAACGCATTTTTGCCTCTACCATCAGGTTATTGCTATGGATTTTTATTTTTCTCTGTGTGAAAACCCTTGAGATCATTTCCTGTCTAGAAATAGGTATTTCTCTTACTTTGTTTGGTCAGTTTGTATCTTACGAAAACACAAAACCGTGAAACTAATCAGGTCTGTTTTCTGCACTGGCCTCTAGAATGGCCAGAGGAAATTTGGCCGGCCGTATCATTGATACTTAGTTTTAATGTGCTTCGTCCTTAGCACCGTTTTCAAATCTATTCTGTTGCCCCGTATGTACCTTAAATTTTTTCTGTCATATTTTACTCACTTTCCTTGAAATGGCCTTTCATTCTTTTGGAAGAAGCACACCCTAAATCACAGATCTGCACACTTTCTCTGTCAAGGGCCAGACGTTTTGGTTCTGCAGGCCATATGCTTTGTGTCCTCAGTGCTCAGGTCTGCCACTGGAGTTGAAAGGAGACATGGACATTGCAAAAACAATGAGTGTGGCTGTGTTCTATACGGACACATGAAACCTTCTATACGGACATGGAAATGTGAATTTCATGTCATTTTTATGTGTCACGAAATAGTATTCTTTTGACGATTTTTCTAAAACACTAAAAAGATGTTAAAACTCTTCTTATGCAGGCCATACAAAAACAGGCGATGGACTAGATTTTGGCCCACAGACTGCAGTTTGCAGACCCCCAATCTAAATAAATCAAATGTTGCTCCACAAAAACCTAGCGTCATTCCCGATGCACAGTGGGGGCCCTGTAAGAACTTTACGTTGCAGGAATGACAAGGTCTGGTTTCTTTCCATGAAGCTAAAGGATTTTTTTCTCCTTTAGGTTTTGATTCGCAGAACAGGAATCCCGATCAGCATGTCTCTGCTCTACTTGACAATTGCCCGGCAGTTGGGGGTCCCACTGGAACCTGTCAACTTCCCCAGTCACTTCTTGTTAAGGTGGTGCCAGGGTGCAGAAGGGTGAGCCACCTATACCACATTGTGATTGGGCCTCAGGATTCACTCCCACGGTGCTGAGAGGAAGTGCAGGAACTGAACAGAGAGGTTCACCAGAGCACTGGGGGTGGGCCAGCTGTCTGGTTCCTTGGCCGTCAGTGTCGAGATTCTGGTTCTGGGAGAAGGGCACTCTGGATTTTTGTGTATTCTTTCTTAAAGCTGCATGTGAATTTACAATTCTCTCTCTATATAAAGAGTAGGACTAGGAGGAGCTCAGGGTTTTGGGTGGGTCTCTTAAGTCCCTTGTTGCAAAGCAGATCAGATCAAAGAGGTTTTTTGTTTTAAGGAATTTTGCTTATTTTTTTTAAAGTGTTTATTTAAATTCCAGGTAGCTAACATACAGTGTAATATTAGTTTCAGGTGATTTAGCACTTCTTTAGACTATCCAGTGCTCATCACAAGTGCATGCCCTAATCCCCATTACCTATTTCATCCTTCCCACCACGCCCCACCCACCTCCCCTCTGGTAACCATCAGCTTGTTCTCTGTAGTTAATAGTCTGTTTCTTGGTTTGTCTCTCTTTTTTTTCCCCTTTGCTCTTCTCTTTGTTAAATTCCACATATGAGTGAAATCATATGGTATTTGTCTTTTTCTGACTTATTTTGCTTAGCTTTACATCCATCCATGTTGTTGCAAATGGCAAGATTTCGTTCTTTTTTATGGCTGAGTAATACTCCATTGTGTATAAGTATACCACTTCTTTCTCCACTTATCTGTTGATGGACACTTGGGCTGTTTCCACAGTTTGGCTATTGTAGAGAATGCTGCTATAAACACATCCACACCAACGCATGTTGTTTCCTGTGTTATTGAGTTTAGCCATTCTGACAGGTGTGAGGTGATGGCTCCTTATAGATTTGATTTGCATTTCTCTAATAATGAGTGATATTGAACATCTTGTCATGTGTCTGTTGGCTATCTGGATGTCTTCTTTGAGAAAATGTCTATTCATGTCTTCTGCCCAGTGTTTAACTGGATCATTCTTTTTTGGGTGCTGAGTTTTGTAAGGGTTTGTTGTTTGTTTTTTTGATAATCTCTACACCCAACGCAGGGCTCAGACTCACAACCCTGAGATCAAGAGTCGCACACTTCACTGACTGAGCCAGCCAGGCACCCCAATATAAGTTCTTTATAGGTTTTGGATATTAACCCTTTATCAGATGTGTCATTTGCAAATATCTTCTCCCATTCCATAGGTTGCCTTTTGGTTTTGTTGATTATTTCCTTCACTGTACAGAGCTTTTTATTTTGATGAAATCCCAGTAGTGTATTTTTGTTTTTGTTTCCCTTGCCTCAGGAGACGTATCTAAAAAGAAGTTGCTATGGCTGACGTCAGAGAGGTTACTGCCTGTGTTCTCTAGGATTTTAATGGTTTCATATTTCACATTTAAGTCTTTCATCCATTTTGAACTTTTTGTATTTGACTCTTTTGCATATTGCTGTCCAGTTTTCCCAACACCATTTATTGAAGAGACTGTCTTTCCCACTGGATGTTCTTTCCTGCTTTGTCAAAGTTTAATTGACCATGTAATAGTGGGTTTATTTCTGGGTTTTCTGTTCTGTTCTGTTGATCTGTGTGTCTGTTTTTGTGCCAGTGCCATTGGTAATATACTTGTAATACACAGCTTTGTAACATGCTTGAAGTCTGGAATTGTGATGCCTCCAGCTTGGCTTTGCCTTTTCAAGGTTGCTTTGGCTATTTGGGGTCTTTTGTAGTTCCATACAAATTTTAAGATTGTTTGTTCTAGCTCTGTGAAAAATGCTAGTGGTATTTTGATAGGGATTGTATTAAATGTGTAGATTGCTTTGGGTAGTATAGACATTTTAACAATATTTGTTCTTCCAATGCATGAACATGGGATGTCTTTTCTTTGTGTCATCTTCGATTTCTTTCATCAGTGTTTTATAGTTTTCAGAGTACAGGTCTTTTCACTTCTTTGGTTAGGTTTATTCCTAAGTATCTTACTGATTTGGGTGCAATTGTAAATGGAATTGATTCCTTATTTTCTCCTGCTGCTTCATTTTTGGTGTATAGAAATGCAACAGATTTCTGTAGGTGGATTTTGTATCCTGTGACTTTACTGAATTCGTGTATCAGTTCTAGCAATTATTTTGGTGGAATCTTTTGGGTTTTCTATATAGAGTATTGTGTCATCTGCAAATAGTGAAAGTTTGACTTCTTCCTTGCCCGTTTGGATGCCTTTCATTTCTTTTTGTGTCCGATAGCTGTGGCTAGGACTTCCAGTACTATGTTAAGTGACAGTGGTGAGAGTGGACATCTTTGTCTTGTTCCTGACCGTAGAGGAAAAGCTCTCTGTTTTTCCCCATTGAGGATGATATTAGCTGTGGGTTTTTCATATATGGTCTTTATATTATGTTGAGGTATGTTTCTCTCTCTGTTGAGTGTTTTTATCATGAGTGGATGTTGTATTTTGTCAAATGCTTTTTCTGCATCTATTGAAATGATCATCTGGTTCTTTTATTAATGTGGTGTATCACATTGATTAGTGACTATGGAACCACCCTTGCAACCCAGGAGTAAATCTCACTTGATTGTAGTGAATGATTCTTTTAATGTATTGTTAGATTTGGTTTGCTAGTATTTTGTCAAGAATTTTTGCATCCATGTTCTTCAAGGATATTGGCCTGTAGTTCTATTTTGTTTTAAGATTTTATTTGAGAGAAAGAGAGTGTGTGCCCATATGTGTGCACACGTGTGCACCAATGTGGGGAGGGACAGAAGGGGAGGGAGAACTAACTCCGTGCTGAGCGTGGAGCCTGACTCAGGGCTCAATCTCATGACCCTGTGATCATGACCCCAGCCGAAATGGAGTCTGATGCTCAACTGACTGAGCCACCCAGGCGCCCCTTTAGTTCTCTTTTTTAGTGGAGTTTTTATCTGGTTTTGGAAGCAAGGTAGTGCTGGCCTCATAGAAGGAATTTGGAAGTTTTCCTTCCTTTTGTATTTTTTGGAATAGTTTAAGAAGAATAAGTAGTAACTCTTCTTTAAATGTTTGGTAGAGGGGCGCCTGGGTGGCTCAGTCGTTAAGCGTCTGCCTTAGGCTCAGGTCATGATCCCAGAGTCCTGGGATCGAGCCCCGCATCGGGCTCCCTGCTCAGCGGGAAGCCTGCTTCTCCCTCTCCCACTCCCCCTGCTTGTGTTCCTTCTCTCATTTTGTCTCTCTCTGTCAAATAAAAAATAAAATCTTTAAAAAATAAAAAAAAATAAATGTTTGGTAGAATTTACCTGTGAAGTAAGTCATCTGGCCTTGGACTTTTGTTTGTTGGGAGATTTTTTTTTTTTTTTAATTAGTGATTCAGTTTCTTTGCTGGTTATTGCTCTGTTCAAGTTTTCTATTTATTTCTGTTTGTTTTGGTAGTTTACATGTTTCTAGGAATTTATCCGTTTCTTCCAGATTGTCTGATTTGGTGATATATAATTTTTCATATTCTCTTACAATTGTATATATTTCTATGGTGTTGGTTGTTATTTCTCATGCCTCATTTGTGATTTTATTTATTTGGGTCCTTTCTTTTTTGAAAAGTCTGGCTGGAGGTTTATCAATTTTATTAATTTTTTTCAAAGAACCAATACCTGGTTTCATTAATCTGTTCTACCAGGGGTTTTTTTGGTTTATTTCTGTATCGTTTACTTCTCCTCTAATCTTTCTTATTTCCCTTCTTCTGCTGACTTTAGGTTTCATTTCTTGTTCTTTTTCTATCTCCTTTAGGGGTAAGGTTGGATTGTTTATTTGAGATTTTTCTTGCTGCTTAAGGTATTATATTGCTTTATTGCTATATACTTCCCTCTTATGACCACCTTTGCTACAACCCAGAGGTTTTGGACAGTTGTGTTTTCATTTTCATTTATTTTCATGTATTTTTTAAATTTCTTCCTTGATTTCCTGGTTGACCCATTCATTGTTTAGTAACATGTTATTTATCTCCACATATTTGTGGTCTCTCCAAATTTTTTCTTGTGGTTGACTTCAAGTTTCATAGTGTTGTGATCAGAAAAGATGCATGGTATGGTCTCAGTCTTTTTGTATTCATTGAGGCCTGATTTGTGACCCAGTATGTGATGTGTTCTGGAGAATGTCTCATGTGTACTTAAAAAGAATGTGTATTCTGCCGTTTTAGGATGAAGTGTTCTCAATATATCTGTGAAGTCCATCTAGATCAAAGAGTTCTTAAAGAAAGTCTTACTTTGTAGTCTTCCATTAAATCTCCCCCCCTCCCACCTCACCAGAGAAAGAAGTGGGGGAGGGCACAGAAGAAGGTGGGGGAGAGGACAGAGTAGCTACGTTCTCACTCATGTGCAAAGCAAATGCTCGATTTCTTACCAGCTGGAGATTAGCTTTTCTGAGTTCACCAAATAGGCAGAACTGTCTTCTCATTAAATGTGCCATTTAGAGGAAAAAGAAACGACGTTATTGAATTATATCCTGTTCTTTGAATGACCGTGATACCCTCTGGTGAGTGGAATAATAGAAAATACCTGAGCTTTGAAGTTGGGCAGAGTTCAGACCTCAGCTTCCCCTGAGCCTCAGTTTTTTACTCTGTGAAAATGGAGCACATGTTTTTCAAGTGGTTTGGAGGATTGAGATGACCCAGTGCTTTACACATCTAGTAGAATTTGTTATGCATAACTAGAAGAAAGGTGTAACTCATCTCTGTATTTCGTTTTTTGTTTTTTTTTTTTTTTTAAGATTTATTTATTTGAGGGGCGCCTGGGTGGCTCAGTCGTTAAGCGTCTGCCTTCGGCTCAGGTCATGATCCTGGGGTCCTTGATTGAGCCCTGCATCGGGCTCCCTGCTCCGTGGGAAGCCTGCTTCTCCCTCTCCCACTCCCTCTGCTTGTGTGCCCTCTCTCACTTTGTCTCTCGCTGTCAAATAAATAAAATCTTTAAAAAAAAAGATTTATTTATTTGAGAGAGAGCGTGCACACATAAGGTGGGGGAGGGGCAGAGGGCAAAGGAGAGAGAGAATCTCAAGCAGACTCCACACTCAGTGTGGAGCTCGACTTCGGGGCTCCATCCCAGGATCCTGAGATCATGACCTGAGCCGAAATCAAGAGTCAGACATCTGCTCAACCAGCTGAGCCACCCAGGCGCCCCACTCATCTCTGTATTTCTACCCCTAGTTTAAGAAATAAAACACTTGGGGCTCCTGGGTGGCTCAGTCGTTAAGCGTCTGCCTTCGGCTCAGGTCATGATCCCAGGGTCCTGGGATCGAGTCCCGCATCGGGCTCCCTGCTCCGCAGGAAG